GTTGAAATCTTACAAGAACTAGTACAATTTGAACCCTACAAGGATAAACGGAATACAGATTAAATCTCTGTTTTTTGTCAATGCACTGTTAGTTGTACCAATCAAGGGTCAAGATCTCACAATTCAAACATCACGCCAAAATAGAAACTCATTTCATTTGTAAGAATATGAACACATGTAAACAAGAAGTTGCATCTATGCATAACCAAAGTTGATCTGCATAACAATACCCTGAACTTACACAGGTTCATAGAGAAGACCTATTGTTATTGTTACCTCTACAACATTAATGTCCAAAATAAAACTTGTCAGATCCACACCAATTTTTGTGTGTCCCTCTAATTTTGTGAGCCAAAAATAGTTCCTCGGGAAATAAAGGTCGAGAAGAAAACAAAATTTAAAACGGAAGGTGGACAAAAATTGAAGAACTTGAAGATGGTAATGCACGGATATGGTGAAGTAGTTAACCACATAGAGAGGAACGAACAATACTCTCTTGAATATGAAAAACTAAAAACGAACCCAGTCAACAAAGTATCAAGAAAATAAGAAAAACATACTTTGCCTCCAGCTCCTCCATGTGGCTGATGGATCATCACTCTCGCATTCGGCATACAAAACCGCTTTCCTTTTGTACCAGCAGCAAGAATGAATGCACCCATGGAGGCAGCAATACCCATACAGATAGTCGATACATCGGCTTTGCACAATTTCATGGCATCATAAATACCCATTCCTGCATTGATTATAATTTTATTTTTTTTAAGTAGAAACATGAAGTTTTAATTATTGTACCCTACTAATATGTTGTTTTCCATGAGAAAACAGTTTGATCAAGAGAAAATGGATGCTAAGTTCTTGACTTACCAGAAGTTACAGAGCCACCTGGTGAATTAATGAACAATCTGATGTCTTTCTTGTTGTCCTCAGAGTCGAGCAACAGTAGCTGACTAATGACGAAGTCAGCTGACATGTCGTCTATCTGTTTCCAGTGTTATGACCCATCAAAAACAAGTTGAGTTGAAGAGGAACCATGATATATATATACTGCTTTAAAATGAAGTTTACTCATGTTAAAATCGAGATTCCTTTCTTCCTCCTTGGATATGAGTGATATACAAGAACAACAATCTTGACATGGCCATATCATTTTTATGCAGGGGTTACACAGGTTCTCATTTTCTTAGGGTGTGATAGGATTATTATTATTATATAAAATTTACCAAATTATGAGCCAGCTCATTTTTCGATGGCATTATTACAACTCATAATATGATTAAAATGCCTCTCTGCAACACACTAGAGTCAATGTTAATTTAATTCTTGTGTTTATATTAATGATGATGGCACAAGAAGAAAAACCATTTCCAGCAAAAATAAACATGGTTCAGTTAATCCTGCAGGAACAATTTCACAGGACAATGGAGTATGAATTCACAAAGCAAAACAGAAAGAGAAACCTGATTTCCCAAGAAGATTATTCTCTGACGAAGAAGCATGTTTGTGGTATCAAGCTCCTCGAATCTCGGCATCCATGAAGGAGCAGCATAATTTGATAGACTGTGATTTGAGGACGCTTGCGCGTTCAAATTACTGCTGTAATTTGAAACATCCCAATTGCTCGATAGACTGTGATGTGAGGACGCTTGCGCTTTCAAACTACTGCTGCAATTTTTAGGAAGAAACTGGGGAAATTTACTGCTGGAAATGGCGGCGCCGCTCATGAAAGCGGCGGTTCTGGCGGGTCCTGGATTTGCGATTAGAAGGCCAATCTCCATTTTCCCCCTTCTCTCTGCACCAAAGGATTTTTTCGCTTCTATGCTTTTTAGTTTTTCCTCCTTGCCTTTTGCTTTCCGTTTTAGATAACCACGTAAAAGAGAGAAAACTACAATTTTAGCCCACAAGTTTACATAAATTGTGAAATAGTTATCTTGTTTGTCATTAACTACAATTTTAACCTACAAATTTACATGAATTGTGAAATAGTTATCTTTGTTTGCTAAAACAATCGTGGTACAAATTGACCCGATCCTTATCATTGTATTCAAATATATTTCAATTTTAAATTGTGTTTTTTTTTTTTAATATATTTCACATTTAACAATTATCAAATTGTTTTTCACTTGTGTTCTCTTTCTGCACATTTAACAATTATTAAATTGTTATTCAATAATATTATTTAATAATATTATATACAAAATGAAAAGAAAGTTATTATTTAATAATATTACAAACAAAATAAAAAGAAAGTTATGTGAGAATAAGATCGACGTTCTAAAATTGTCTTGAATTGATCAGATACGTTGTTAAAGAAAACACAGAAAAGTTTTGTGGATGAAAAAAATATAAAATTTAAACAAAAACCGATAAACGTACAAATTTAACAATGATCTTATTGCGAGGAGGCCCTTGATTCTAGAAGGGGCTAAAATTGATCAGTTCTTGATCCTCACAATTGCTGTGTTTTCTTCTCTCATATCTTTCACTTACTCAATGATCTTAAACCGGTAGATTCTATCACTTGCAATTGCGCATACCAATGTCACAGCAAAAAAACACCGGATTCATCTTTCTCGAACATAAAAATGGCAGAGCACAGTCGCATATCACCACAAGACAATACCAAATCCACTCCCACAATACTATAAATCAAAAGAATAAAAATAAAAGAAAGGCAAAATCCCAGAAACAATTTTACCCAGTCGCAAGCTGCTCCAGCCTCCTTTCTAATTCCTCCAATCGATCGTCCCATTCGGATTTCACAGATAGGGGCCTGACGGCATCTAAATTGCGAGGAGGCCCTTGATTCTCTGTTTTTCTCGAAACTGTCCCTGCTTCCCTCTTCTTCTCCTTCTTTTTCTTAGCTCTTTGAGCCGCGGCAATTTCCAGTGCTCTCAGTACGTCGGCGCCGCTCGGTATTGTCTTCGCCTCCGATTTGGGGGCCTTTACAAGCTGATCGGACTTTAGGGCTGTGCTAATAACCGCGTGTAAAAAAGTACGGCCGCTGCCCGGTGTTCCCACGAAGAGCGTGGAGTGACGCCGTTGAGGAGTTCCGGCGGTGGTGGAGATGGTGTTAGGAGGCCAGGATTTTGGTGGATGAAGTTGTCGCGCCGTCCACATTTTGGCGTTCGTCGCGTTTCTGATATCAACCTTAAAATTCGATTGGTTGAAGTGTGAAGGATAATTTTAGTCTTGCTTTTTTCCTTTTCACATTTAACAAATTATTTTGTTTTCTTTTTTCTTTTTTCCACATTTAACAACTATTAAATCCCCCTTCTATATTAATTAAGTATGTGGCAGGCTAGCATGCTTCGGGATCTTATGTGCCAAAATAACATGTTTCTTTATTAGGCTTGGGTATATTTAATTTACTTCTAATCAAAAAAATATTTAGGTTTGAATTATCTATAAATATGTTGATTATTTATGGTAGGGGTGGGCGCGGTTCGGGACCGTCCGAAATTTGATTTGTCCCGATACCGATCCCACTTTTATGAATCGGTCCATAAACGATCCGGGATGAGGTGCCGTCCTCACCCATGTAATACATGGGTGTTGTACTAGTTGTTATTAGTTAACAATTATGAAATTATTTTGTTTTTCTTTTTCTATTTTTTCACATTAATCGTTATTAAATTGTTGTTCGATAATGACTATGTTTTTCAATACTTAGTAATAATCCCGTGCACATAAGTAATATGAGTAATTTAATATTAAAATTCTAGATAATGAATATATCACATTTTCAAGATTTGATCACTTGTAAAAATAGCATATTTCAAATATAAATTATTTAAGTATATATGAATCACTATATAGATTGAAAAAAGTTTGTGGGTAATGTAATTTTTATTATTTGGAGGGATTATGGTCAAATAATTTAGTAAAAAATTATTATTATTATTATTATTATTATTATTATTATTGTTGTTGTTGTTGTTGTTGTTGTTGTTGTTGTTGTTGTTGTTGTTATTATAATTATTATTACTATTATTATCAAAATTATTATGATTGTTATTATTATTATAGCAACATTTTCTTATAAGATTTTAAAGTAGTTTGACTATGTTATTAAAACTACTTTTTTAAAGTAGTTTGACTATGTTATTAAAACTACTTAGCTATATATTTGTAGAGAAAATTGTTTAATGAGATACAAACAAAAAAAAGAAAAAAGATAATGAAGAAAAAAATTGCAATAGAATTGTATATACTTGTGTAATTTTTATTTGCTGTGAATTATTATTAGTTGTTTAATTGTTTTACTATTATATAATATAATAACAATAAATATATTATTACACTTAATAAGGTGTATTAAATTATAATAACTATAAATATATTATTACACAAGGTGTATTAAAATTAGAAGGAAATCAAAATATTTTTTATTAATTGTTTTGCTAGCAATCAGGGGCGAAACTAGAAAATTAGTTGAGAGGAGGCAAAAGACATGACATAATGGGTTCAGAACCGATACTGAACCAATAACATTTCGGTAACCAATTTTCGGTCACCGTTACACATAAGTTGGTTCGGTTCGATTTATTTTCTCATCGGTTCAATTCGATTTTCGGTTTTTAATCAAAAAATACCTGCCCTAGCCTAGCCTGGGCAATAAAAGAGAGTTGAAGTCTTTTATATGGGCCAATTAAAATTATAGAATGATTATAATTAATATACAAAATTAATAGTAAATAAAAGAAGTGTTGAATTGTTAATTGACAATTATGGACAAGTTGGCCTGGTGAGTAACGTTTAAAAACAAAAAATCTAGGGGTGCAAAAATAAATTTAAAGGGGGAACAAATTAATTTTTTTTAAATTAATAGTAAGAAAAATTTAAATTTGAGCCACCCTACTAATACATGTAAATTCGCCCATGCTAGCAATTATATATACTAGTAACCATCCCGTGCATTTGCACGGAGGATAATATTTAGAAAAAATAACAATATAAAAAGAAAAAACAAATACATAATCATAATCTAATGCATGAAAATAATATATGTATTAAAAAAATAATTCTAAATATTATTAAACGCTTCTTTATATACAATATTTTTGGTTTCATATCGTCGGAATCACCATCACCACATATCATTATTTTCAAACCCTTTCGATTCGTGACTCTAGAAAGAGCAACATACAACTGTGCATGACTGAAAACAGGATTCATTAAGACTAAGCCGACGTGTGAGAGAGACTGGTCTTGACTCTTCTTGATTGTCATAACATATGAGACCATGATAGGAAATGGTCTCCGTTGAAACTTGAACAGTACCCTCAAACAAATAAGGAATAATAATTGTGTGCCGAATTTATTATAATTGCCATCAAATATAAACATTTGGGTTGAAATTATCTACTGAACAAATAATTGCATTATAAACAATTTATTGAATTGGGCCGAGTAACATATTAAAAAAAATGTGGTGAATTGGGCTTAATTTTTTTATAAAAAAATCTGAAAAGGTGACTTTGGCCAATATCCCCAGTACGACTATTTGTTTAATAGGCCCGATTTGGTAAAGCCCCAAAAAAATAATTTTTAAATTGAACCAATACACATTTAATTTAACAAAAAAAAAAAAAAAAATAAAAAAAGAACCATGTAATCGGTAAGACCGGTTACCAAGCAAAAGGGTTACAAAACTTTCGATTACATAATCCTAACATTCTATGATTCAAGCTCATTTCTCTCTTGTTATTGGCGGATCGCGCGTTTTTTCTCTCTGTAAAAAATATCCAAGATCTCATTTTTCTTATCAATAAATCGGAATGATTTTGATGTTATATATCTGTTTTGTTTGAATTTTTTTATTTTTCGAAAATTTTTAGAATTTGATCGAAATATCTCGCCGGAAAAACAAAGAAAAGAGCATGATTATGAAAATTTACAATTCTATTTTACTAAATCATAGTAAAACAGTCCAATTTGGCCGATTACATAACAGATCTATCAAGATCT